AAAGAACTCCAAGAATTCAATTTTTGACGAAATCAAACAAAAAAAAAGTATAATTTAGGACCTTTTGGACCTCAAAGTGGACCAATTTGAAAACGGGTCCCAAAATCTAAATTCTAACTACACAGTTAAATTCAGCATATCAAAGAACCCCATAAATTCAATATTTGCTTAAATCAAACAAAGTTTAATTTTGGACCAACTTAAAAACTGGGCCCAAAATCAAAAATCTATATACATGTTTAGATTCAGCATATCAAAAAAAAGTCTGAATTCAATTTTTGTTAAAATCAAACTAAGTTTAATTTTGGACTCTTTGCACTTTAATGTGGACAAATTTGAAAACCGGGCCCAAAATCTAAAATCTAAATTACACGGCTAGATTCAGCATATCAAAAAATTCAATTTGTGTTGAAATCAAATAAAGTTTAATTTTGGACTCTTTTGACCTCAATGTGGACCAATTTAAAACGCGGCTCAAAATCCAAAATACACGGTTAGATTCGGCATATCAAAGAACCCCAGGAATTCAAGACTTTGAATCAAACCCCATTGAAATTGTTTTTTTACAATTTCAACGGCTTTTGGATTTATGTTTTGAAACTATATATAATTCATGCTTTGAGACGGTCCCTGAAAGTGTTGTGTGTGTAGTTTTAATACAGCGCGATGTTGTGCATTGTGACAATAAACCTGGGTGATATTTTGTATTTCAATCATAGCCTGGGAAAATATTGGAAAGCATGAAGAAAATAAATGGGGAATGTGTCCATGGGACACAGATGATGCCCCGCTTGCATATAACATTATAAAGGGCCATAACTCAAGACCTGTAAAAGTGACACTACCCAAATTTGAACTTGTTTATAAGTTTCATAACATTTATTTGACGTAAACTTAAATAAGAGAACAGAAACGAAAAATTCAGCAATTTTTCCATTTTTAAAGGGGCATAACTCTAGAACAGTAGAAGTGACGCCACCAAAATTCAATCTTTATCTGTGTTTTGTGGTAATTAGCATTGTGCATAAGTTTCATAACATTTGGTTGAGGCAAACTAAAGTGAGAGAACAGAAACAAATATTTCAGCAATTTTTCCATTTGTAAAGGAACATAACTTTCGAATGGTAAAAGTGATGCCACCAAAATTCAAACTCGATCTGTGTTTTGTGGTAATAAGCATTGTGAATAAGTTTCATAACATTTGGTTGAGGCAAACTCAAGTTAGAGAACGGAAACCAATTCAACACAGTGGTCAGAAAGCAGAAAGATAATTAAACAAAGGGATTTTTCTGTCAAAAATATTTAATTTCATTTTAATAGATGCTACCAGACCAAGAGAATATTCATTAAAATTATTAAGTTTAGATTGAGACTAAATTTGTCCTTAATAGAATATAACTAAAAATGTTATATATACGTGTATTATGTCCCACAGGCTTGAACAGTGAATAAATCTATGAAAATTATATGAAACATATGAGCACCAATGAGCAGAGATACGTATACATAAGTTAGTATCTAAATTTTAAACGATGGTGAATGAAAAATCATGACTTGCATGGTATCAATTCACAAAACACAATTAATATTTTACAATAATCATTAAAAAAAAATTAATTACTACGTTAATTATTTTATACTGTTTTAGTATGGATTTATTAGTCTCTGCTTATATTTTGTATAACAATATATTCATATAGTGGAAAGTTAGAAATTAATAAAATTCTTCGCCGAGCGCAGCCTGATACGACCGCAGAGATCGAACCCTAAACAGTTGGGGCAAGATTTGGACACAATATTCAATCTTTATACTGTCTGAATTTGGATTGTGATCAAATTTTTGACATGATTTAGGTTTCTGACACAAAATAAATGTGGTCCAAGATCTTAAAAATTTGAAATGGGACATTTAATTTACCTAGTATGGTCTGATATCCAAGGGACCTCGGTGGCCGAGTGGTCTAAGTAGTTACTACTGTAATCACTAGCCAGTCAACACTGAGGTTGTGAGTTCGAACCCCGCTCGTGCGGGTGCACTCGACTCCAATCTTAATTGACTAGGATTGTCAGTTTTCCTATCGAAGGTCGGTGGTTTTCTCCGGGCACTCCGGCTTCCTCCACCAATAAAAACTGGCCGCCACGAAATAGCCCAAAAGCGGTGCTTAAAAGTGGCGTTAAAACACCAAAAATCAAAAATCAAAATCTGATATCCAAAATCTAAAACATGGTTATATTCAGTATATAAAAAAACACCAAAAATTTAATTTTAGTTGAAATCAAACAAAGTTTAATTTTGGACCCTTCAAACCTTAATATGGGCTAATTTGAAAACAGGGCCCAAAATAAAAATCTAAATGCACAATAAGATTAGGCATATCATAGAGCCGCAATAATTCAGTTTTTGATGAAATCAAACAAAGTTTAATTTTGGACCCTTTGGACCTCAATGTAGACCAATTTAAAAATGGAACCCAATATCCAAAAAAGTAATACAAGGTTAGAACCCCCAAAAATTAAAGACTTTAAATTAATCCCATTGAAATTGGTTAAAAGATTTGTATTTATTTTCAATTGAATTGCGCAATACTGTGCTGTTGCATAATACTTAGTTAATCTGTTATATATAATAATTTACACACCCTGTTTGGTGTGCACCTCCTGCCATATCAGTATTTGTTGCTTTTATATATAAATCTCAGAAATAATCAATGTAAAAATGGAAAAAAAAACAAAAATTTATGAAAAAAAAAATCCCCCCCAAAATTTTTTTTTGAAAAAATTTGAAATTTTGAAAAATCTTGAAGAAAAACATTTGAACCTCTCAAACTTTTGGCCCCTTTTCTGCCCCTAATTTCTTAACGTTTGGGGCAATTACCCCCAAACTCAATCCCAGCCTTCCCTTTGTGGTATGGAACCTTGTAGTACAATTTCAGAAAGATCCATACACTTACACACAAGTTATTGTCATGAAACTAGAAAAATGCTTGTTTTTTCCCCTTTTTGGCCCCTTTGCCCCTTTTTTGGCCCCTAATTCCTAAAATTTGAGGCAATTACCCCCAAAATCAATCCCAGCATTCCCTTTGTGATATGGAACCTTGTGGTACAATGTCAGAGAGATCCATACACTAACACAAAAGTTATTGTCTCTGGAAGTTTCAAAAATGCTTATTTTTGGCCCCTTTTTGACCCCAAATTCCTTAACTGTTGGTACCATAACCCCCAAAGTCATTCCCAACCTTCCTTTTGTGGTATTGAACCTTATGGTAAAATTTCATAGAGATCCATTCACTTAAACTAAATTTATTGTGCGAAAACCAATGTGTCTTCGGACGACGACGACGACGACGACGCCAACGTCATACCAATATACGACCGCAAAAATTTTTTGCGGTCGTATAAAAATTACTTGATATTTAGAAGAAAATAAAAATTTTGCAATTTTTCCATTTATAAAGGGACATAACTCTAGAACGGTTAAAGTGACACCACCAAAATTCAGACTTGATCTGTGTTTTGTGATAATAAGCATTGTGTATAAGTTTCATAACATTTGGTTGAGGCAAACTCAAGTTAGATAACGGAAACCAATTTTGGGACGTACGTACAGACGGACAAGGGTAAAACTTAATGCCCCACCGCTACGGCGGGGGCATAAAAATTATGTACACTCCCAAGTAATAAATAAAATAGTCAAGCCTTAAAATGTAAATTCAAATAGTAGCAGAATATATACACTTTTCTATTCACAACTATCCAATATTGCTTTCAATTGACTTGTGCTAGAATCTACACACAATTACATATGTTCAATAAAAGTGTTTTGACATCATCATTATCTTATTCTATTCACAGTCAATTATTTCAAATCAAAAGCAAACAAAAAATCAGCAACATTTATTTGGTTACCAGTCAGCGGTCTCGGGTTCACGTGTTGCTTTTCTTTTCTTTTTTTTTTTTAAAGAAAGCAACTTGTTTTTAAAATGGACCAAAGTCTCAAATGGCCGACAAAATGTTTACAATGTAGTTGCAATTACATGAAGGGGATACAGAAATTTTCTAAAATATCTAATAAGATGAAGAATAACAGGAAGACTGCTATAACTTTGATCATGGAAGTAAAATGAATAAAATGCTCCGAACAGTCGGGGCAAGTATGGACACTACATTCAAGCTTGATACAGCTCTGAATTTGGATTGTGATTAAATATTTGACACATCATAGGTTTCTTACAAAGAATAAATGTGGTCCAAGAACTGGAAAATTTGTGAATTTGGACTTTTACCTATTATGGTCCAATATCGAAAATCTAAATACAGTTAGATTCAGCACATAAAAGAACCTCAAGAAGACTTTGAATTAAACCAAATTGAAATTGGTTAAGAAATAAGTAGTTTATACAAAGTATTAGAAAAGTATTGTTTTGGCCCCTTTTTCCTAAACGGCTAGGGCCATTATCCCCACAATCAATCAATCCCAACCTTTCTTTTTTGGTATGGAACCTTGTGGTACAATTTAATAGAGATCCATAGACTTATAATCAAGTTATTGCCCGGAAACCAGAAAACCCTAGTTTTATGTGCCATTAATTCCTAAACGGTTTGGGCCATAACCCCGAAAATCAACCCAACCTTCCTTTTGAGGTATGGAACCTTGTTGTACAATTTCATAGAGATCCATACAATTATACACAAGTTATTGTCCTAAAACAAGAAAAATGTTTTTGTTGGCCCTGAATACCTGAACAGTTAGGACAATAACCCCCAAAGTCAATCCCAACCTTCCTTTTGTGGTATGGAACCTTGTGGTACAATTTCATAGAGATCCATACAATTGTATGAAAACCAAATGTCTTCGGACGACGACGCTGACAACGTCATAACATGTTTGCGGTCGTATAAAAAAACAATATCCAAATCCTGTACCAAAGTGCCTGTGATTGCCAAAACAAACCTGTATCCTACTGCATTTGTTTATTCATATAAAGAATACATAACAGCTCTTTAGTTTGGAATGTGTACAACTATTTATTGACATAAAAAATCATTATACAAATCAAATGATTTATTCATTCAATTTAAAACAATTCATAGAATGTTTTCAATTTATTCAAAATTCTATTTTCTCAGGAGAAATGTAAAAACCATCAGGTTCCCTACAAATGCCCATTTCACATAAATTAATATTATCTATAACTTGTGTTCCAAATTCTATATTTTGTGATTGGGAATAAAGCCAAGGAGCTATATACTTTTTACCGGTTGACCTGGCCACAGTTCGAGTAATTTTCATGATTGTCATGTGAGGTACAAACTCATGGTTGTCTCTAATTTCAATTCCTTCTTGTTTAAGACATAATCTTAAATGCTCTACCATATCTAAAAATTCTTGAGGACATTCACACTTCGCATATAAAACTCTATTGAAGAAATTTTCCATTCCTCTAAAAAGAATTGTTTTATCTTTCGTTATCATTCCCTGAAGTTCCGGTTTGATCTTTTTCAGAACTTGACAGGCGTGAGCAACTTGTTCGGTTGTATCAAGTCCCAATGTGCACAGTGTGATGTGCAAGGAATTCAGTGGTATGCAGCATTCTTCATACTGTGGTTCATGTTCTAAAATAACATCTTGTATTCCTTCTACAACTTTTCTTATTTCATTGTTCGTTATACGCAAAGCAAGAAAATGGTTTGGCCTTAGTTTGTTTCTCCAATACTTGTCATGTGTATCCTCATCTTCATCAACGAGATGTAAATCATCTTCATCGTTCCCTGTAGCATAGTTGTTACTTCCTATAGTGACAGTGATCCCGTCATCGCTGTCACTGTCCTCGTCCTCGTCAACGACATCGTAATATTCATCTTCTGTCTTGTTCACTTCATCGGTCTTGTTTACATCGCTGTCTTTGTGATACTTTTCTATGACATCGTATATTGTAGTCTTGCTTCCTGTAGAACCAAAAACGTTGTCCATTCTTAGATTTTTGTCCCATACTTTCACATCTCTATACTTGAAATACTGGATTCTGTGTTTTGGAACTGCTAGTACATTGTAATCAACTGTTGCTATGTCTTCCCAGCTAAAAGATGTAAAGTACTTTTCTTGTATTCCCAAAAATCTGTCTATGTAACCTACGACAAATTCGTCCACTGGTAAGTTACCATCCCATAAAATTCGTTTTACGACATCGTCTGAAGTTTTCATTGATGGTTTCTTTTCGTCTGCTGTTTCGTCTTGTACTTTCTTTTCTTTTCGATTTTTTCTATCTTGCTTAGCCACAGAAATTTTATTTACTGATTTTTCTTTATTGGTTTTAGATTTAGGTTTTGCAGAAGGTGTCAAATTGATGTTATTTTTCTGTAACCACAGTTTAGCATGCTCAACTAAGGCCAAGACCATTGGTGACCCGAGTGCTGAAGCAGCAGTTTCATCTAGTTCGTTCTGTATTTCGTCTACAGCTTTTGAATCCATTGTTCCTGATCTTATGATAATATTAGGTTTCGTAGAAGGATATGTTTCTATAAAAATTAAACAAAGATTAATAAAGATAATGTTCAATGTGATAATAAGAACAAGTAACTTATTTCCTGTTTGAATTCTCCAGGTTCATCCTTATGTGATTTTTTTGTTGCCACTTCTAAAGGTTGAAGACCGAAAACATACAACAGAAATAAAGCTTTTGATATACTCTATTTATATAAAGCGTGAATCAAGAACGGGTTAGCATTGGGATGCAAAGGGGTCCTTTTAACAATTTTTTTCACTGCATAAATACCTTTAAACATAAAGCTGAATACCCTAGCTTTCTCAGCTTTTAAAAAGTCTGCTGGGTAAGCCCTATCGATTGCTACATGTATACATTTAAAAGCTATTGACTTGAGATTTGCAGTGGATAACCGTTCTATGTCCGATAATCCTGTACATGTATATCATTAATTCTGTGAAGGATCAAAGTCTTTTCAAGTTATTATGATCTTTTCTCTGTTAAATTTTATTTTCGACTAAATAAATTGTAGCACTTTGCAAATATATAGCTAAATCTCTATTACACACAAAAGAATAACAGATTTAAGATCATTTAGAGAAAACAATCTACTTATATATTTTACATACATTCTAAATTAGAAATTTTTACATAAACAACATTATAACTTACTTTTCAGTTGGAATTTGTAGATAATATCTTGGTCCTTTGGTTGTAGGGTAACAACATGAGAGAAATCTGCAATATCTGTGATGATACGACATTGTCCATTAAAGTTCTCTTTTACTTTGGCTACTTCTTGTGACTGCATATCAATATTGTCGGTAGACGCCATAGTCTTGATTTACCTATGAAGAAACACAAAAAAAAAACAATAGCATGTACTTTTTGTCATTGACAGCCTAACTTGGGCAAAAAATGCATGGTGAATATCTACAAAAAAACTTGAGATTTTTGTGTGTACCTATTTTTTATATTTAGGACACATATTTCGTTTTTTCTATCTTTCGAACTTCATAGATTAAGAAAAAAGACTCGCAGAAAAAAAGAACCATAAAAAGAATAAGATGGTACGACCTCAGCCGACATTCCACATCTGGCAATCTCAACCAAATTTAATAGAAGAAAGTATATTATTCTACATATGCAGAACGTCATATTGCGATCTGGCCCTTTTGTCCCAACCCCAATTACCATAAACACCTGCGGATCAGACTCTACAAGATCTAAAATAAATCTAATCAGAAAGTGAAGGCATGGATTTCCTTATGGAACTAAAAGAAAAACGTGTCTGAATCGGGACGAAATATAAAAAAGCTCATTTGCAATAAGAAGCTCAGGTGCGATTGAAAACGAAAAGACTATCTACAAAAGATTGATTGATTGTTGATTGCTAAACATTCAGTGGCAAATATCTCATGCATGTTCAGAACGCCGGAGAAAAGATTTACCAAAAATACTATAGGTAGGTCTTGTAATAGAAGCTGTAAGGATGAAGGTCGGAGAAATTTGCTCTGCCACTTGAAAATGAGGGTATATTGGATAGGGACAAATATGTTGCCTTGCAACAGGCCACCTACGAACTCCCTCCCCATTGAAGAGTTGTTGCAAGGGTTCCTATCTTGAAGAGAGCATGACATTCTCTTCACTAGAGGCATCCTATTTTACTTTTCCCGTGGCTGCGTACATCCCGCACAGCAAAAAGCACGCCCTACTTCGGCAAGGGTTTAACCGCCGTTCGCGGGAGAAGATCAAGTGACCAGATTTCTATTCCCCAGTCACCCTTGGATGTTTCTACAAAATACAAAACTTAAAGGACGGTGCAAATAACTATACCACAAGTACTGATCACCGTACATCCTTCAACGATTAGTAAAACCAAAATTGACCGAATAGTAATCTGTGAAGAGATAACAAATTATGAAACTTTGACAATTCAATAGGGAAAACATACAGTCTGATTAGGTTCGAAGAAAGACAACTCATGTTCAATTATACCATAAGAGAGAACTCCAAAAAAATTTTCTGAATTTTTGTATGAAGTAAAGTGGCTATTCGCCAATTTCGTATAACAATACCAATTTACTTCATAGTTCCAGTTCAGTTTTAGAAACTTTTTATTTTCTGTTTTTTTTTTTTCTTTCATTAATTGTGCAGCACATCGAGTTCAATAAATCTTTGCATGAGGAGGATAGCGTTATCTATTAATGGCAGGATTTACAGAAGCAACCACAATTGATAAATTGCAATTATTCCTTTAATCACCATCAAATTAACTGCTAACTGTTCCAATTATTAAAGCAAATGTATTTGATTTATAATGTACTATTTAACTTTAAATGTATGATCGTGTTGGTTTTATGGTTATATATATTTATATATTTTTCAGTTTATTTTTCTTCTTAATTTAGCGAGTTCTAGCTAAATGCCAACACAATTTTACAATGGAGGCAGTTTACATTTGCTATACTAGTACCTATCCATTGTATTTAATACTGTTACATACTGTAACAAAGGGGGTTGTTAACATGACAATACTCTAATTAAAATGAGATTTCATAATCTGGAGCCATAAGTGACAGCTTTCACATTAATTAATACAGAGACATATATACACATGTGTATATATGTCTCTGATTAATATAAAAGATAATCATAATTATTACTCATAAATCTCATTCTTTCATTTTTCCATTACAATATTATTCACACCTTTAGTATGAATTAAGAATTTTAAATGTCTCTCATATTAATTCCAGTAACTTTACAAATAAATAAACCTGTCACAAATATTTTAACATCAAATGTCACCGATTAAGATTAACAGATAATTTGTCTTTTGACATGTAAATTTCTAAATTTGTAAAACCATATTTTGTAAAAATCCAATTTCTAAATAAAATAAAAATTAAGTCCAAATTAGCCTGGTTACATATACCTGGGACATAATATAGTTAGTATAATAGTCCCAGCACACACAATGTACTCAAAAAGGAGGTTGTCGAAAAGAATATATGATCATATACATGTCAACATAATAATATTAATATGTTGTTGTTTTTTATTACATGTTTATCTTCTAGATGGTGACAACAGACATATATTATTTATTGCTTTGAAATTGTGATAAAATTGTTATATACGCCCTTAGCCTGGGACCCTAATTTGGTGAACATCCAATCATGGGCCCACATAAAATGACCTTTGATCATTTAAGGCATGACAACACGATAATGATTAGGAACATAGGTTTAAAACAAGTCAAAAGACACTTTATAGATGATATATCACTAGTAATACAGTGGCTGCAAGCATACAGGTCTTATAGTCGACAGGTGCGCATCCAGGCTTTTTGAAAGGGGGCGTCATTCCTGAAAATGGAATGTAAACTGTCGAGTGGAGCATGGTAAAAACTTTATTGGACGATTTTATGCTAAACAATTATATATTTTCCAATCAAAAGGGGCGTTCGAATTCTACACCAACCACAGGACTGGTCGACGCGTCTGTTACGGCTAATTTTCGATTCTAAGTAATTTCTATGGAACCCTCATTGTCTGATTGTCACAGGAAGGAGGTTAAAGCAAAAATTCAAATAACCGCCTAACGACCAAACAGAAAATGGCCTAATTATTTCGACTAGACCATATATATATATATGTCTCTGTCAGACTACGCCAGTATGATTTGTTATACTTTCCTGTTACCGTGACATTAAAGCTGGTGTTATTATATAGTATACTGTAGTCTCAGAACAACATGAAGACAATATGTAATGATAATGATATAAAATATATTTTACTTACTGCAGCTCAAAGTTTTCCCAATATAAGTAATAGATATCAGATCATACGGCTTTTTATATGTTTACACTTTCGACTGGTGGTGAAATACCTGCTGACGTCTTATTGCTAAAAATAGATTAGTTTGATAAGGTTATTATTAGAACACCCAAAGACCAATAACCAAAAAGATCGGTGAAACGGACTCGATTCTACGCTGAATTAAGGATAATGCTATCAATTAAATTTAAAAATAGGATTCGCACGAAAAGATATTATAACATTTAAGATATAAACGACGTTAGAAACTATATATAGAAATACAAATTCTTTATTCACCAATCATGGACCCTTGCGAGATAACCGCCGGATTACGAGCGTTCTAGCTAACCGTGGCAATATATCATTCTTCTTTTTTCGATTCTTTATTTTTTTCTTTTTGTTTTAATATTTCAGAGCCCGTAAATTTAAACAATCCACGTAATTTTTAAAAATCTTTCGAATACGCATATTTTTAAAAGGTTACCTTATTAATTTAAAATGGTAGCCAAGCCGGTATAAGATTCTTTAATATTGTCTTCATCGGTAGTGAACTTTATGGGAACTAGGGAAACAAAACAGGGATTCAGATCCATTTGAACACTTGCAATTTAAATTTAAGAAATTGAAAAACTACTCTGATAAAAACTACAAGTTTGATCTGTGAAACAAACACCATGCTTTATTTTTTAATTCGTGGTTGACTTGGATCTACAGACCTTTAGTATTCTTTAACGAACAAACTGTGCTCCTCTTCTCACCGACACTTCCCTTATTCATATTTGTCAAAATTCATAATTATAATCTAACCATGCATCTTTGCAAAACCATAAACGTAGAAAATTGCAAGACATAGGTAATCTTAAGACTTTTAATATCACCGAAACTATATATTCAAAACACTTTTCAGAGTGAAGCAGGAATTGCTTACCATTCCAGAACATACATCTTAGTTCAACTAAATGTGATTCGTCACTGTTGTTTCTGTGTAGTGCTTTGTGAATATTTTTTTTGTCTTTTTTGTACTATTTTGTTTTGCCATGGTGTTGACTGTTTTTATTTGTCTTGATTTTTTTTAAATCTCCCTTGGTGTCTTCTCGCCAAATGTATTACGTAAGTGTTATTTTCATTTTTGTAAGACTTGGTCGATACCGTTGTTGGTGATCTACTAGTCCCCGTAGGTATCATTAGTTAAGTAGTCAGTGCCTTTCTTCATTTTTGTTGACCAATTAGGAAATATTAGGAAATTAGTGCGACAACTCGATCCGGCAAAGCTAAAGGGTATTTGATGTTCTCCTCGCGTTTTTATTTTTATAGAGCCTTCACATTTTCTGGTTTGAGTGTTAAAGTTAAATGTAGAAAAGCGCTTCACGCGCACCAAATTTATGTGCGCTTTTCATGTTCTCCCTCTGTTTATAGATAACCATCAATCCGTCTGAACAAGAACTTAGTGCCAGTGTGTGACCATAAAAGGTCACATCCACCCTCCCCCATCATAAATTAAGCCATTGTTTGTGTTTATGTGTGTTTTTAAGGAAACAGATGAAGTTTTTATTATCATTTCATAAGTATTTGTTTATGTTTTTTTTTTCATTTTCGGATACTCTTTGGTGTTTCACTTAGATTATATTATAGTTACATGACACGAAGTGTGACCTTACATGGCTAAAGCTCGTAAAAATGAGCGAAATCCGACCTGAGGATCACGAATTAGAATAGACTGTGAAAGGAAAATAAAACATACCTTAGTAAAAATTAAAAAAAATATTCAGCAGACTTTCGGGGCCTTTTACAGCTGACTATGCGGTATGGGTTTTGATCATTGTTAAAGGCCGTACAATGACCCATAGTTGTTAACTTCTATGTTATTTGGTTTCTTGTGGAAAGTTGTCTCATTGGCAATCATACTACATTTTCTTATTTTTATAACTAAGAGGTTATATTCGGATCCCCTTATTAGACTGAATTAAATTGTTTCGCGCAAAAGTGATAATCCCGATCTCATCGTCAGCTAAGTACACAGCGAGTTCTAGAAGGGGGAGGCACTTCAATCGTTTTGTGGTAGGGATGAACAGCTTAGATCTCCAATACACCATTTTTATACGACCGCAAAAATTACAAATTTTTTGGCCGTATATTGGTATCACGTTGTCGTCGTCGTCGTCAGCGTCGTCCGAAGACAGATGGTTTCCGGATAATAACTTTAGTATAAGTAAATGGAAATCAATAAAATTTTAACACAAGGTTTATAACCACTAAAGGAAGGTTGGGATTGATTTTGGGGGTTTTGGTCCCAACTGTTTAGGAATTAGGGGCCAAAAAGGGGCCCAAATAAGCATTTTTGTAGTTTCCAGACAATAACTTGTGTTAAAGTGTATGAATCTCTCTGAAATTATACCACACGTTTCCATACAACAAAGGGATGGTTAGGATTGACTAGGGGGGGTTATGGCTCAAACCATATAGGAATCAGAGGCAAAAAAGGGGGAAAAACAAGTTTTTTTCTGGTTAAAGGACAATTAAGACAATTTAAAGCAGTCTAAGGGAGGTAATCCAATCCAAATTTAAAACAACAATGTTTGATAACCTCCCTTACACTGCTTGTAAATCATGTATTAAGAAATGATGATTGTCTTGAGGTGATTAGCTGTCAATTTATTTTTAAAAGTTACTATTAATATTAATTAATTTTAGCCATGACTATGTATGTCATTTTATATTTTAAGACTTGTATGATGGATTTAAAAGGGTAATTATGGTTGCAAATTTTATTAAAATTTGAATAGATATTATGACTATATCTTGAGGGAATGATTTTTTTTTGGAATAAGGGAAAGGGGGAGGTGAACAAAAAATTTGGGGGGGGGGGGGTAATAAGAATTGGGGGGGGGGGGGAACTATTTTTTTCTCATTTCAGATTTCAGAAATTAAAAAGAAAATTTCTTCAAATATTTTTTTTGGGGGTTAATATTCAACAGGATAGTGTATTGCACAAAAGCAAAAAAAATGGGGTCAATTTTATTTAGGGGGGGGGGGGGGAACTATTTTTTTCTCATTTCAGATTTCAGAAATTAAAAAGAAAATTTCTTCAAATATTTTTTTGGGGGGTTAATATTCAACAGGATAGTGTATTGCACAAAAGCAAAAAAAATGGGGTCAATTTTATTTAGGGGGGGGGGGGGGGAGGGGGTCAATTCGCAACAGCATAGTGTATTGCACAAAAGCAAAAAATTGAATATAAATCCAAATCATATAACCAATTTTTAAGTTCTTTGACTACATGCAGTTATTCTGTGGCAGAAACCTATTATGTGTCAAATATTTAATTACAATCCAAATTCAGACATGTATCTAGCGTGAATATTGTGTCCATTTTGGCCCGAACTTTTCAGGTTTTGGACATCTGCGGTCGTATCCAGCTGCGCTCAGCGAAGCAATTTATTTCATATATTTTGAATAACAAAAATCATAAATTTTGAAGTTATATATTTGTGTGTTGTTATAAATAAGCTTTATTTAGAGTCGGCATAGTATACAAACAAGGACATAACATAAGCTCTATTAAGTTGTTTTATTGTACTGCATGACTTCTTAAGTGCACGTTCTAGGCCCATATTGTCTAAATTGTGTACTATAAATAAACTCATCATAGATGCCAGGATTAAAATTTTGTACGCCAGGTGCGCGTTTCGTCTTCAAAAGACTCATCAGTAGAGCTCGAATCAACAAAGTTCAAAAGGTTAAATAAAGTACGAAGTTGAAGAGCATAGAGGACCCGAAATTTTGAAAGGTTGATAGATTTTTCTTAGTCTTATAGTCTCGAAGTTAGTCAATTTCGATTTTATATTTTCATTAGGGGCGGTATTTGGGTCCCCCCCCCCTTGCTCCTACGCCCGGACCTAACAATGAGTATCCCGAAGGTCGTGGGTTCGACCTGGGCCGGGTCAAACAAAAGACATTAAACTCTATATATTTGCTGCATGCTTCTCCGCTAAGCACGTGCATTAAGAAGTAAGAGCAAAGACTTTTCGGCTCGATGGCAGAATAATGTGACCGTTAGGCCCGATGACATGTCTTCATGCAGACTGTTATGCTGTGAGCTATCACGTTAAAAATCTATCTCGGCGTGTTTTCAGCAGTAGACTTTCCGATCAATTAACTAATCTACATGTCTTGTATTGCCAAAATGACACAAATTTCTACGGAGTTACTTCCCCGCTAACGATAAAGTTTAGGTTTCAGCTCTGTGGTTCCCAGTAAAGACATTATGAATTTAAGAAAAAATATTTAATGTATAAAGTTCACATAACCAAAATCTGAAGACATGATAATACGTGTATTTACCCGTGCTGAACAGCATTGACATCAAATTAAGTCATAAAGCACACGGAAGCAAGAACTTTATCCTTTTAACATAGGATTTTAAGGAGGTTTCTTTCTTTCGCAAAAAAATGTCTGAATTTTAAGAAGTCGGAATTGCCCTTCATACAACTTTGACACGAAATAGTCCTTAAATACCACCTGAAAAATAAACAGTATGTGATATTTCACTATCAGAGAATAATGCAACTATAATAATTTAAGGCCATTAGGTTCTTACGAAAATAATACAATGCAATTTTACAAACATAACACAGGAAAGGAACTATATTTGAGGACCACTGATTAAGAGCGACCAAAAAGCCAAATTTAAAATGCTGGTAGTTACTTTTTTACTATTGCTATCTTTTAATTTGTTTATCTGAATATGCATATGAATTTCCTGTAATTTTCGAATCAAAATCCATAATTTGTTGAACTTGTACTATTAGTATCAAGCTCTTGAATCCAAGAAGGAAGTGTACAATAAGCTGCTACTACCAGGCACTTTTTTCTTGTTTTCAATACATCCTGCATCAGGTATTATCATTTTTCACAATGGAAACCAAAACTATATATCTAACGTCAACATGAATGTCTTAGTTTATTTAAATAATGTTGACATTGTTTATTTCAAAAGTTCCATAAACATAACGCCTTTTTCGCAGGTTTTTGAATTGATGTTAACAGGATTATGAGGGTTATATTCTTTATTATTATACTTCATGTAAAAATGCAATATTTTGATTGGCTTA